GCCAGCTCGGCTCCTGGAGTCCCTGAGGCAGAGTGCACTTGCTCCCCTGGGTCATGCGCAAATGCACTCACGTGTGTACACAGACACAGGCATGCACAGGTAGGCAGATAGACACACGCGCGCACACACACACACACAAGCCTGCCTTGTTCACTGGCGCAGCCCTCCCCAGGCTCTCACATGGCCTCCTGCACACTCCTGCCTGCAGGCACACAGGCAGGCACTCCCGCGTGTTCCGAATGTGTGCCCACGTATGCTTCCTTGTCAGCCTGATGCTGCTGGCCCTTGGAGGCGCCCCTCAGTGCCGCCTTGCTCCTGGACCCCTCTTTAGCTGGCTGCCTGGGACTAATCCCTTCCCTTGCCCCTCCCCCCTGCTCCTGGCCCTCTGTACCTTCCAGAGTGTGAGTGAGAGGAGCCTGCTGGGGGAGGGAGGGTGGTCCCCTGGCCCACAACTGGGCCTAGAAGCATTCAGTGCCCGTTGCTGGCCCTACCAGTTGAGTCCTCACGGGAAGGCCCACCTCTGGACCAGTCACCTCCCAGGGCAAACAGGACGCGACCGTCTGACTTGGCCACAGGCTGACAGGCCCCTTGAGGCTGTCCTGTCTCAGGATCTGTTTGTGTAGAGAGCCTCAGGGCTGCAGGGCCCAGCCTCCCATGTTACCTGTGTTGGAGAGCAAACGATTTTCACATGTACATGAAATGCAGAGACGTGTGTGTGTGTGTGTGTGTGTGTGTGTGTGTGTGTATGTATGCATGTATGTGTGTTGGCTGCTCACCCCTCACCCAGCCCCTTAGGGGGTTGCTGAAGGAGAAAGGACCAGAGCCTTCCAGAATCCCTCGGAACAGCCTGCATGCCCGCGTGTGTGCTCCCGGGAGGGGTGTGAAGAGAAGAGGCAACCGCAGCTGGAGCCACTATAGATGTGGTGGGGCAGGGGAGCCTGGCATTAGAAATTGCTCAAGTGCTTGGCATATACACTTGGGTGGAGGTGCGTGGTGTGCAAGGCCACCCCCGTGAGATGCTAGGTGGGCAGCTGGGTTCCTGGGTCTGGAGCTTGGCTAGAAGTCTGGCTGGTAGGGAGCAGGCAGGCCTCGGGGAGGGTGCCCCAGGCTGAGCAGCTGGCTTACTTCCTGGCAGTCCCAGCCTCCCGGGCCTCTTGCCCGCCCCTTGAGGCCCCCGGCTGCCGCCCTCGCTGCCCCAGCCCCGGCCACATTGGCCCTTTGCACGGTGTTGACACACATTCCATCGCCTCTGCTTACCGCCTTGCTTTCCATGTGGGCAGATGCCTGCGGCGATGGCTGTCTGGGCCTGTCCTCTCTCCGGGACCCTACTTCCTGCATGGCGATCTTGCGAATACCTCCCACCCATACTGACTTTGACCCGACCCGGTGGAGGTCTAGGGGGCTGATTCTTGGAGTTTGGGGCACCCCTGTGAGTCCCCAGGCTGAGAGGGCCAACCTCCAGCCCTGGCTGGTGTAGACAAGCGTCCAGGTTTTGAATCCGGATTTGCTGCCTGGGAGGCCCTGTCCCTACTTAAGGCAGATGGAGATGCCTCTCTCAGGAGGCCCCAGGCCTCGGGGCCACAGTAAGGGGAGTGGAGAGGAGAGAGGGCCGTGTGAGGACCGCCGGCGGGGTCGGTGTGCCCTGTCATCCTCTGGAGGTTGGGCGTGTGTTTGCAATTCTTTACAGTGAAAAACTGAAAACATGCTGGAAGGGAGATTGATCTCCCGACAGGATCACGGACTTGTCAAGGTCGTCTTCACTTGCTCTAGGCGTCGTGCTCTTCAGCTGACTGCAGTGCCGCCTCTACCACCAATGTGTCCGCACACGCAGTGCAGGCAATGGTGCACACGGCAGCCCCTGCTCCCCTATTTCTAGGCTTGTGTGGGACCCACAGCCCAGTGCACATGACTCTTCCTCCTGCAGTGGAAGTGGGGTGCACTCCCAGGGGCCCCCGGCCTAAGGGGCTCACTCCCCAGCCTCCATGCAGGTTGGCCGCTCACGCTCTCTGGAAATGAGCCAAGGACAACAGGAGCTGCCTTCCCAAGGTCGCCCCAGCCCCCATCAGGTTACTGGACGATGCAGGTGCAAAGGTCCCCCCACCCCCCCGCCTCCACGGCCCAGGAAGACTCTGGACTCAGCCCATTCCCTCGTGTCGGAGTGGCCTGGGCTGCCGCAGCAAATGACCACAAACCGTGTGGCTTCAGCCAACAGGAATTGACTCTCCCAGTTTTGGAGGCCGGAGTCCAGAATTGGGCGCTTCCTCCGGTGGCTCTGGGGGAGGATCCTCCCGCCTCTTCCAGCTTCTGGGGGCCCCGGGCACTCCCCACCTTTGCCTCCACATGGTCTTCTCTGTGTCTCTCCTGTCTCTTCTAAGGAAACTGTCCTTGGATTTGGGGCCCTCTGGATCCTCTAGGTTGCTCTCATCTCCACATCCTCAATTTAATGACATCTGCAGACACCCTTTTTTTGCATATAAGGCCCTGATCACAGGGCCCGGGTGTTAAGATGTGGATGTATCTTTCGGTGGGGGCACCTACCAGTCACCCCACAACGTGTCAACAGCCCAGGCCCCAGCCACAGCGCCCTGGTGAAGGGACAAGCTTGGGCACCAGGCCACACAGCCGAAGGCCACTGGGCACCTCCCTGCCTCTGCTCAGGAAAAGGGGCTCCAAAGCTGTCCCTGCACTAGGCCCCCTGGGGGCCCTGCTCCCTGCAGCCGGAGGTTCCCTGAGCAGTGTCTCCACCCTTCCCCTAAGCCCCGGATGGACAGCTTTCGTCCTGGGAGCACAGGCCTGCTGAGGGATCCTTGCTGCGGGCTAAGTGCTCCTGGCCAGGGCCCAGGGTCTCTGAAGAAAAGAAATCCCTGAGCTCTGGTTTCTCAGGGGCCGAGGGGGCTCCTAACTCATGCTCAGCTCCCAGCAGCCAGGGCTGGGTGGGCAAGGCTGGGACATGGGAGCGCTGAGCCCTCAGTATATGAAGGGGACACTGGCATCTGGTAAATGCAGATTCCTAAGGTCTCTGTCCTCCAGATCAGGACGCTTCAACTCACTGAACCTCCTTTTTCAACTAGATGCACATGTGGGAAAGGCCTCTGCCCCCAGGATCCCGCAGCCAGCTGGGTCAGCTGAGCCAGCCCAAGGCAGAGGAGGGCCGCCCCCACTCTCCTTCTACCTCCTTCAGACCATGTAGCTCCACAGTTAGCCCTGGGGCGAGGTGCCGCCTTGGCCCCTGCCCTGCCGTGAAGGTGGCCCACAGCCCCCTTTGGCCTGGTCTTCTCCCACTGGCTCAGTCCTCTGGGGGACTCTCTTGCCTCCCATGGACACCTTGGCTTCACCCTGGACCTCCCTGCTGGGCCTCTGGGGACCTGCTGCTGACCTGTCCCCAGGAGGGAGCTGCCTCTGGCCTGGCAGGTGCCCCCAGCACAGCGGGCAGGACCACAGCTGTGGGACAGCGCCTGCTCCCCTGTGCCCCGGATACCTCGCCTGCCCCTCGTGGACCAGCCTGGGACAAGAGGAGAATGGGAGACCGGAGCTGGGGAGCAGCCAGGCCAGCCAGACTGGGAGGGGGTGGCGAGGACCCAGGGAGGAGAGGGGATCTCCCCACTCCCAGACCCCCACTCTTCCTCCCCAGCCCCTCCTCACCCACCTTCACACTCCAGCTCTTTCTCCTCCCTTGGCTCTGCCAGGGGCTGTCTCACTCCCTGGACTTTTGACCTGCCGGGCAGTGGCCGCTTTGCAAGTGGCTTCTGGGCCATTGCCCGGAGGGGTGGCGTGAGAAGATCGACCATGAGGAAGAGATATGGCTCCAGGGCAGTGAGTGGAAGGCTCTTTCCCCCAGGTACCCCATCTACCCTTCAAAGAGGGGAGGGTACACCAGTCATGCCACAGCAACAGTCGTTCATTTCAGAGGCTGCCCAGACCACTCTCTGCTCCCTGCAGGAAATACTGGACCTGTTCATATATTCATTCATTCATTCAACACATATTGAAGCACCTGTGCTGGTGATAGAAGAGTGGACTCGACCAAATGGCTGTCCCCATGACTTTGACAACCTAGCTGGGGAGCCGGAAGGTTACCTGAATGAAGGTCAGCTTATTCCAAGCCAGGGTGCACCTGGGCCCAGGCATCCTCTGAGCCCCTCAGCATGAGCATGGCTGTGGCAGGTTCCTGACTCACCAACCTCTTGTCCTGTGGCACCTGGGGGGTCCTGGGTGGCAGTGCCTGTGCAGCCATGAGACCTCCCTGGGGCCCAGAAACTGTGGCTACTGGGCTTCATGGTGAGCCCGGGCTCCCTAGGCCTGTGAGGCGTTGGGGTTCTGGCCAGCCTGCAGCCTTCAGTGGGGTGGGTCTGCACAACGGAACCTCTGGCCCATGGTCTGCAGGCTCCACGTCTCCGTCATGGCCTTCCCTTCCCTCCTTCCTTGCAGTTAACCTACATTTGGTGTCTCCTGGCTTTGCCCTTTGTTTCTCCTGCTCACGGTGCCAGCCTCTGAGAACAGGCTTCTGGGCCATCCCAGTCCCTCCTGCCCCTCCCCCTTACTTGAAGCCAGAGGTCATGGAGCTGAAGCACCAGGCCCTGGAGGAGGGTCATGGGAGACAGAGGGAACTGTCTAAAGGGGGTGAAGGAGAAGGGAGTGACACCTGGTTGGGGCGGGTGACTGTCAAGTGGGACCAGGCTTTCCAGAAGTCTGGCTAGGAGGCGCGGTCCTGTGAGCAAGAGGGTGTAGCTGGAGGGGGCTCCAGTCTGCCTGTCCCTCCCCAACCTTGGCTGTGTCCCCAGCTTTCCTCTCAGTGGCCCAGCCCGGCCTGGTGTTCGCAGTCGGTGAGTTCCTCCTGAGCCAGTTCTGACAGGGACCTGTTCTTCAGGACAGGGGGTGTTCCACGTGGCTTGGTTCTGTGGGGTCCAGTCTGCCCAGCCAGTGGCCCTGGGGCTTGACTTGTTGGCGGCTCTTGATCCATGGCACCCACCACTCATGTGCTTCAAGGGGTTTTTTCTCACCGAACGAGTGTCCCATGGTTGCCATAAGAAATGACCATGGGCCCTGGGGCTTCAAACAGCAGCAATCGATTCCCTCACGCTCCGGAAGCCAGAAGTATGAGATCTAGGCGTGCGCAGGGCCGAGTCTCCGGGGGGATCCTTCCTGCTTCTTCCAGCTCCTGGGGGCTCCAGGCTTCCTTGGCTCATGGCTGCATCACCCCAATTTCCGCCTCCATCTCCACATGGCCTTCTCCTCTCTGTCTCTCCTGTGTCTCAGAAGGATGCCTGTCATGAGATTTGGCACCCCCTGCCCCCCATCATGTAGACTGAGCTTATCTCGAGAGCCTGACTGTCATCACATCTGCAGATACCCTCTTTCCTAACAGGGTCCCACTCACAGGCTCCAGAACGTGGACACACCTTTTGAGGACCAGCACACCCCGACAGGCACCCCATTTCTGAGGACAGCAGCACGTGGATGCTGACAGGGCAGCTGCTCTCTGCTGAAGTGTGACAGGGCTAAGCCCTGCAGTGGGGACCCCTCCCTCCTCCTGGCCCAGCCGCCAAAGCCACACGCTCTGTCACCCTTGCCTGCTCTGGCTCTGGAGAGCTGAGGGCCCTTCTGGGGGCCCGGATGTGTCTGTGGCTGAGCTCGGGTACAGGTTGATGCCTAGGGTGCCCCTGTTTGTGAATGAGAGGAGTGGGCGTTGGAGAGGCCAAGTCCTTGACCTAACCTAGCCAGAGGGGAGAGGCCAGTGTCTTTGCAGAGGGGCTGACCTCAGGAGACAGCAAACACAGGGGCAAGGACAGGCCATCTGGAAGGCTGGCAGGAAGCAGATTGGTGGGGGCGGCAGGTCCAGTGGTGTCGGGGAGCGCTGGGGCCCGAAGGATGTGGGGGCAGGAGTGTGCCAAGACAAGGGTCTGCCCACGTCTTGGGGGCCTCCTCGAAGGTTTCCATGAGTCCCATCCCCCAAACCTTTGCTGTTCTACCCCTTCCTATCCCCATGCTTGGAAATTATGCGGCCACATAAATGCCGCTCATGGTGGGGCCATGCAAGCTGCATTTTGTTTTCCCAGGAGTTAATCATTGTCCTTTGGGTTTGCTGTTTGCATGTATCACGAACTCAACCCTAGACCCCATCCATGTGTGGAAATGTTCTCTCAAGATGTCCAAACACAGCCGGCGTTCGAGTGATTTCATCTTGCAGAAACCCTTTCACAGCAGAGCCTCTAACCTCCCCAGGCTGTCTGCCTTGCCCCTGCCCCTGGGCAAAGCTGGCATCCTGGGTCTCCCTCTGCCCTTCCCCCCTCCTATGTTGCAGCCCTCAGTTTATGGTCACTTTTCCTTTAAAAATAATGTACTGCTTGTATAAAGTTAAAAACACACATTAAGAAAGAGCTAGACGGGATCTCAGTAGCCTTGACTGTTCCGCGTGACCTTGAGTAGTCATCTCCCCTTGAGAGATCTTGCTCGCATTATCTCTGGAAGGACAGAGTTGGACTGCAGTTATTCACGAATGCTTCACTTATTCAACAGACACTTGTTTAGTGGTGACTCTTAAGAAAATGGTTTATCATGGAAAAGTTCAAACATAAACAAAGAGAGAGTTCATGAAACCCTGTGGATCCATCAACTGGCATCAATAGTTTGCCCATATTTTTCATTTATACTTTTCTTTTTTTCTGCTGGAATATTTTTTAACTTGTTCTTTTTAAACCGTTAGATTCACGAGGACTTCGGTGAGAAGTGCCTGGGAAGCTGTGGCCCCTCCCCACAGGTCCCTCTGACATTGGCTACTTGAACACCGGAGGCACGACCGGAACCCGGATGCGATGTCCATGCTCAGGTGTCTCCTGTGTGCGTGCACTCGTGTATGTACATCTCTATGCAACTTCATCACTGTGTACATTCATGTAACACTCAGTGCAATCAAATTACAGAACGGTTTCCTCACCACAAAACCCGCTGTGCTACCCCTTTATAGATGAGTGTTTTTGTAAGAAACTGCCAACTGTTTTCCCGAGTGGCTGCCCGGTTTGTCATATCCACCAGCAGTGGGTGAGCGCTGGTTTCTCCACACCCACTCCGACATCTGCTGTGGTTTAGTTCAGCCATGGGATAGGTGTGTGATGGCACTGCACGGTGGTTTTGATTTGCGTCTCCCTAATGGCTGGTGATGCTGAGCCCCTTTTCATGTACCTCTTGACGACGGTAAGACTGATCAAGAGATTCAAGTGGTGTCAGCCTGATCTGGCCTTTATAGAATTCTCTAGTATCCCTTTGCCCAGTGTTTTTAGCACCTAGATCCATTATTTAGGGTTGAAAATGGTGATTTTTCGATTCTATAATTATTCCGGCATTTCCTAGTTGGAATTCTGTAACAGAAGAGCTTTCCTTCATTGACTGGTCACCATAAAAAACAGGTGAGGCGGAACACTATGCAGCCATAAAAAAGGATGAGTTCGTGTCCTTTGTAGGGACATGGATGCAGCTGGAAACCATCATTCTCAGCAAACTATCACAAGAACAGAAAACCAAATACCGCATGTTCTCACTCATAGGTGGGAATTGAACAATGAGATCACTTGGACACAGGAAGGGGAGCATCACACACCAGGTCCTATTGTGGGGAGGGGAGAGGGGAGAGGGATAGCATTAGGAGATATACCTAATGTAAATGACGAGTTAATGGGTGCAGCACACCAACACGGCACATGTATACATATGTAACAAACCTGCATGTGGTGCACACGTACCCTAGAACTTAAAGTATAATAAAACACACACACACACACACACACACAAAACAGGCGAGGCAGGAAAAGCCAGATAGCCATGTGAGTGTTCTTTCTATACATCACCCTTCAGAGTCACAGGCCAGTCCCCGACAATTTCTGCAAGTCACCCATTGTTAAGAATATTCTGACTCTGGGCTGGGTGCGGTGGCTCATGCCTGTGATCCCAGCACTTTGGGAGGCCGAGGCGGGCAGATCATTTGAGGTCAGGAGTTCGAGACCAGCCTGACCACCGTGGTGAAACCCCGTCTCTATTAAAAATACAAAAAAAATTAGCCAGGCATGGTGGTGCACGCCTATAGTCCCAGCTACTTGGGAGGCTGAGGCAGGAGAATTGCTTGAACCTGGGAGGTGGAGGTTGCAGTGAGCCGAGATCACACCACTGTACTCCAGCCTGGGTGACAGAACAAGACTTTGTCAGAAAATGAAACAAAACAAAACAAAACACAACACAACAAAACAAAAGAAAACAAAGAATCCCTATTCTGACTCTGGCATATGTCACATGCTTTATTCCATGGCCATCCTTCCTCCTCTTGGTGCTGTTGGCCAGTGGGGGTGCCTTGGAGGGGGCTTCCATGTCCCTTGCTGCAGTCCCAGCAGGATGTCCTGGTCTCATCTTCTCCACTCTCCACTCCAGACCTGCATATACACATCACTCCAAGGAACCCCAGGTCCTTTTAGGGGCAAATGTATTCAGAGAGACCACACGTAGGCATTACTGAATACCATTTCAGATTTCTTTGCAATTTTTTTCATCCTTATCCCATTAGGGGCAGGGCACAGTGGCTCATGCCTGTAATCTTCGCACTTTGGGAGACCAAGGCAGAAGGATCACTTGAGCCCGGGAGTTCAAGACCAGCCTGGGCAACAGAGTGAGACCCCCATCTCTATAAAAATTTTTAAAAAATTAGCTGGGTGTGGTGGTGTGCACCTGTAGTCCCAGCTACTCAGAAGGCTGAGGTAAGAGGGTCACTTGAGCCCAGGAGGTCAAGGCTACAGTGAGCTGTGATCATACCACTGCACTCCAGGCTGGGTGACAAAGCAAGACCGTGTTTCAAAAAAACCACATGTATCCCGCCAGGTGTGGACAATACAAATACTGCTTTTTCCGTCTTTTCTTTTCTTTTCTTTTATTTCTTTTTCTTTTCTTTCTTTTTTCTTTTTTTTTCTGAGACAGAGTCTTACTCTGTCGCCCAGGCTAGAGTGCAGTGGTGCAATCTTGGTTCACTGCAACTTCTGCCTCCCAGGTTCAGGCAATTCTCCTGTCTCAGTGTCCTGAGTAAATGGGATTACAGGCGTGCACCACCACGCCCAGCTAGTTTTTGTATTTTTAGTAGAGATGGGGTTTCACCATGTTGGTCAGGTTGGTTTTGAACTCCTGACCTCAGGTGATCTGCCCGCCTCGGCCTCCCAAAGTGCTGGGAGTACAGGTGTGAGCCACCGCGTCCAGTCAACCAAAATACTGTGTTTTCAAGACACTTGAAATACTTCTACATATGATTATGCCGCCAACTTTTATATTGTTTGGTTCATCTATTTCTGTTTGTTTTGATTCTTAGGGATGGCAGTGATCTTTCTTTGCGATTTTTTATATTATGGAAAACATTTTTCATTAAACCACGTATGTGCATTCATATCCCCACATTTTTATACAAAAAAATGGCATATTGTTGTGTGCTTCACTGTTGGGTGTATCTTGGTATGCTGGGGGCGCCCCGGGCAGCATGCTGACTCTAGCTGCATAGTATTCCAACACGCAGGTCAGCCCCAGCTTGTTCAAACAAGCCCAGCTGATGGATGGTGGCGTCGTTTCCAGTACTTTGCTATTACAAATAATCACCTATTCTTGTTAGGTCTGTAGGACTCCTTCCCTTCCTCCCTCTCCCCCATTCATATGCATATATATATATATATATATATATATATATATATATATATATATATATGGTTTGTCATCTGTGTACCCGAATCTCATCCTAACGGATAGAAGAGAGAACCAAACAGATGTGGTCTTGTTATTATCAAGTGGGGGGATAGTCATTTAATGACACACATAATAAGTAAATGTGTAATTATTATTGCAAAAATATCTATGAAAGAAAAATACGAGGCCACCTCCTCAACAAGAAACCGAGAGAGAGAGAGAGAGAGATTCATCTTTGGTGAATGTATCCAGATTTTCGCAATGAGAAAACCAAGAAAGAAGTTGTTTTTATGTGAGCATGCATGTCAGTTTTG